GTTTAGGGTTTAGGGTCTTTATGGTCTTGGAACGGCTTGGGAAGACTAAAGTCTAGCTTGAAGTGCAATGAAAGCAATTTTTACAGTTCTTGCGTGTGAAAACAGCTTCACTTAGCGCAATAGTTAGAGGGAGCCCACTATGGACCGCAAACTGCACTGTCTTTATGAAGGGGCACCCGAAAAGAGAACCCTACCTTCGGAAACCTCCATTCTGTGAAGGGTCCGAATATCACCCGCGGTGTTGGGGTTAGGATAGGGTTTAGGGTTTAGGATGGGTTTAAAGTTTGGGGCATGACCAGAATTCAACGCCCCCACGAAAAGCCAAATGCTAGCACGCTTTACACCCTAAAATCCAAGTCCCTAGGTCCAGGTATCTCTGTAGATTATTCTGGGGGTACAAAGGATTCCCATACAGGTTCTTTGAGCCCTGAGTGTAAACCTTGTTGCGAAAAGTAGGGGTTTCTGTCGGGGGGGTGCTTATACACAGGAGTGTGGCATTTGGGGCGTCGATGCTGGGGCACCCTTTCATGCAAAGCTCCATGTAGGTATCTGGACCCTTTGGGCTAAGGATCCGTGTTCAAATGGATGGACTCCACTGTGCTATGCTGTGCTGGGAGGGAGCCCGTTGCTTGTCAGCGCGCTCCTGGAGGCGCGTGCCAACCCTCATGACTGCTCCTTTCTGGAACTTGGGTTTAGGGTTTATAAAGGGTTTAGGGAGTTTCAGGGTTTCCTTTCGCGTACTTTTCTTCCAGGTTTCCTTCCTCGAGCTTGAGTTTTGGGGGGTTTAGGACGTAAGGCTGGGGGTTTGTGCCTTAGGGTGTAGGGTCTAAGACTGCAAGCTTTTTGGGCTCTGGGCTTAGGGAATTCAACACGGTGCTTGGATTCATGCTACCATTCCTAGGAAGGAGGGTGTTGGCCAGCCAGGGTTCTAGAACTTGGGAACAATGTGGTAGAGTGGCAGAGCCAATTGTATGCGGTTTAGCTGTTGCAGTGGGACTTGGCCATGAGGTGTTACGTTTTTCAAGGTGCATGTAGGTCATTTTGTTGACATCCATCGTAGCAGTCCAACTGTCACTGTTCATGTAGAAGTTTTGCTTGTGAGCATATGCCATATGATGAGCTTCTGCCGAGATCCTGCATTCATGTTCTCAAGACTGAACGTAGGCAGTGCAGAAGAATTCAGCCTGCCGGTGCCTCCTATACACTGTATTCTTGACTGGGTAGGATGACACGAACGCGTGAATGCTTGCGTGCCCCTCGTGAATGAAGCGTGTAGGGAACTGGAATCCCTAACAAACTTGGGGTCATCTACAAACCATCCAGAATGCTAAGACTGCTGAGTAAGTGCTTGTTGTGCTTTCGAAGCCTACTACCTGGTGCCCTATGCTTTGTTCCGCACTGCTCTTCAGCGTTATTGGGTCACATTTCATCATAGTACATTTTCTGTGATAGTAACATTCACTGCATCACGCCTGTAGTTCTTTTGACCTGCTTTTTAGCACTTTAGCGAGTTAGATAAACACTTGCTTTGCTTGTTTCTGCTTACAACTGGAATGTTGATAGGTTCTGCCTTCGGAACATCTTGGCACATTAAAAGGGCAGGTAATGTAATCCAGCATTTCCGTGTATATGGAGCAGAAGGCTTCGTTGAAACACTGTTCTAATAAGCATGCCATCCCAAGACCCTAAACCCTGAATAGGAGGGTTTAGGGTGTAGGGTTTAGGGTTTAGGGTTTAGATCAGGGTTTAGGGTGTAGGGTTAAACCCTAAACAAACAAAGCCCTATGGGGTTGATAAGGTTGCTCAATAACTTGGCTTTTTCGGACCCAGGTTCATGTGATTAAAGCACACAACATGTAGGCTCGTGGCAGGGTAACCACAGAGAAGTGAAGCGTCCTTTTCGAATAGGTTCACACAGAGCTTTGTGAGCCTTTATGAACGTCTGGCCTGGGAACATCCTAAGATCTAAGCCCTGCTTGAACTCGAGGTAAAGACTCTAAGGTCTAAATCCTGCAGTGTAGGGCTTAGGGCTGAGGATTTACAGTGTAGGGTTTAGGGCTTAGGGCTTGGGGTTTAGGGTTTGGGGCTTGGGGTTTAGGATTTAGGGCTTATCCTTTTAAGCAACAGCCTGTCCCCTAAGTCAAAGCCCTAAATCTTCGGGTTTAGGGTTTAAGGCTTACCGTTTTAAGCCAAACCAGTTACGGGCAGCTGAGGCTTGAAAAAGGCAAAATTGACATTTTTGCCCAACATCGCCGGCATTACCGTGCTTCAAGCTTGTACTTGGCTTCGTCTTGATAAGATTTGTACTAATCGTATCTACCTTAGGAGGACCCCCCACCCTGTAATAGTGGTATAATATGAATATAAGAGGACCCTAATATAATCCCTATTCTCCCCTATAGTCACTATTACTGGGTGGAGGGTCCACCTAATATCTACCTATTTGGTGGGGGGAGGGGGGGGGAATCCGTGGGACTTATTCATGTTTTTTCTTCCTGTTGGGCAGGAGAGGTGTTCTTTGCGGTTAAGGTTTAGGGTTTAAGAATTAGGGGGATAGTCTTTTTTCTACTTGTATTCTCCTTTTTGATTTCAGAAGGACACTGAACCTTAAACCTTCAACCGTGACCAAGGTATCTACCTCCGCCACAACGAAGCGGCAAAGGTCCTCATCTCTTTCCGGGCAGATTTGCATGCTAAGGATTGCAACGGAGCAGAAGCCATTCATTGGGCCTCTTCCGCAAACAATGTAGCTGGATCAATGTTAGGGATCCTTTACTTTTTGGGGTATGGGATTCCTTGTATTTATGTAAAAAGGATCCTTTTTTCTTCCTGGGGTAATGGGGGCTAAGGTAGAGGCCATAGACCTCTTATGCTCCAGAGGCTGCAGCCCTGCAACACCGGATCCTTGATCGCTGTTGAGGAGCTTTAGTTGAGTTGTTGTTCTGGGGACAGCATATGATCTACGAAACGCTCTAAACCCTAAACCCTAAACCATAACTTCCACTTAGCATCATCCCAGGTTAGCACGGGCCACTTACCCTTTGCGATTGCAAGTGCGACAGACAGTCTTCAAGCTCTTCGCGAATTGCTTCCACGTACGGAGCTGGAGTCCATTCGGTCAGGCCCCCCCTAAACCCTAAAACCCGAAAATCTGACGGTTAAGGTTTAGGGTTTAGGGTAAGCTGGAATCTAAGGCAATTGCAGGAGGGGAGTTACCATGTAGTGACCTTACATAAGCCTTATATACCCCTTATATAACCCCCCATGGCCTCTT